AGGTGTTTTGGACTCCAACTCCCACCATTGGGGTTGTGATGCATGGCTGGAGAGATAGATGTATGGGTGGAGAGTCCAAGACATGGGCCCACTTGGGAGGGCCGAAGTTGTCCCAGGCCTGCCCTAGAGGGAGAAGCCCCTCAAGAAGGAGGGAGGGGATGGGGAGGGAAAGCAAGGAGCAGGGCATCTCTTCCATAGAGGAGGGAGGGGAGGGGGTGGGGTGGGGTGGGGTGAGAAGGGAGTGGGGGTGGCCTGGGTGGCCTTGAGGGGTCCCACCCAACTCTGGGATGCTATGTACCCTTAAAAGGGAGAGACAGAAGCCCAAGAGCCCCTCAGTCAGGCCTGGGCCAACTCCCCCCCCCTCCCTCCCTCCCTCCCTCCCTCCCTCCCTCCAGGTGTTTTGGACTCCAACTCCCACCATTGGGGTTGTGATGCATGGCTGGAGAGATAGATGTATGGGTGGAGAGTCCAAGACATGGGCCCACTTGGGAGGGCCGAAGTTGTCCCAGGCCTGCCCTAGAGGGAGAAGCCCCTCAAGAAGGAGGGAGGGGATGGGGAGGGAAAGCAAGGAGCAGGGCATCTCTTCCATAGAGGAGGGAGGGGAGGGGGTGGGGTGGGGTGGGGTGAGAAGGGAGTGGGGGTGGCCTGGGTGGCCTTGAGGGGTCCCACCCAACTCTGGGATGCTATGTACCCTTAAAAGGGAGAGACAGAAGCCCAAGAGCCCCTCAGTCAGGCCTGGGCCAACTCCCCCCCCCTCCCTCCCTCCCTCCCTCCCTCCCTCCCTCCAGGTGTTTTGGACTCCAACTCCCACCATTGGGGTTGTGATGCATGGCTGGAGAGATAGATGTATGGGTGGAGAGTCCAAGACATGGGCCCACTTGGGAGGGCCGAAGTTGTCCCAGGCCTGCCCTAGAGGGAGAAGCCCCTCAAGAAGGAGGGAGGGGATGGGGAGGGAAAGCAAGGAGCAGGGCATCTCTTCCATAGAGGAGGGAGGGGAGGGGGTGGGGTGGGGTGGGGTGAGAAGGGAGTGGGGGTGGCCTGGGTGGCCTTGAGGGGTCCCACCCAACTCTGGGATGCTATGTACCCTTAAAAGGGAGAGACAGAAGCCCAAGAGCCCCTCAGTCAGGCCTGGGCCAACTCCCCCCCCCTCCCTCCCTCCCTCCCTCCCTCCCTCCCTCCAGGTGTTTTGGACTCCAACTCCCACCATTGGGGTTGTGATGCATGGCTGGAGAGATAGATGTATGGGTGGAGAGTCCAAGACATGGGCCCACTTGGGAGGGCCGAAGTTGTCCCAGGCCTGCCCTAGAGGGAGAAGCCCCTCAAGAAGGAGGGAGGGGATGGGGAGGGAAAGCAAGGAGCAGGGCATCTCTTCCATAGAGGAGGGAGGGGAGGGGGTGGGGTGGGGTGGGGTGAGAAGGGAGTGGGGGTGGCCTGGGTGGCCTTGAGGGGTCCCACCCAACTCTGGGATGCTATGTACCCTTAAAAGGGAGAGACAGAAGCCCAAGAGCCCCTCAGTCAGGCCTGGGCCAACTCCCCCCCCCTCCCTCCCTCCCTCCCTCCCTCCCTCCCTCCAGGTGTTTTGGACTCCAACTCCCACCATTGGGGTTGTGATGCATGGCTGGAGAGATAGATGTATGGGTGGAGAGTCCAAGACATGGGCCCACTTGGGAGGGCCGAAGTTGTCCCAGGCCTGCCCTAGAGGGAGAAGCCCCTCAAGAAGGAGGGAGGGGATGGGGAGGGAAAGCAAGGAGCAGGGCATCTCTTCCATAGAGGAGGGAGGGGAGGGGGTGGGGTGGGGTGGGGTGAGAAGGGAGTGGGGGTGGCCTGGGTGGCCTTGAGGGGTCCCACCCAACTCTGGGATGCTATGTACCCTTAAAAGGGAGAGACAGAAGCCCAAGAGCCCCTCAGTCAGGCCTGGGCCAACTCCCCCCCCCCCCCCCCCCCCCCTCCCTCCCTCCAGGTGTTTTGGACTCCAACTCCCACCATTGGGGTTGTGATGCATGGCTGGAGAGATAGATGTATGGGTGGAGAGTCCAAGACATGGGCCCACTTGGGAGGGCCGAAGTTGTCCCAGGCCTGCCCTAGAGGGAGAAGCCCCTCAAGAAGGAGGGAGGGGATGGGGAGGGAAAGCAAGGAGCAGGGCATCTCTTCCATAGAGGAGGGAGGGGAGGGGGTGGGGTGGGGTGGGGTGAGAAGGGAGTGGGGGTGGCCTGGGTGGCCTTGAGGGGTCCCACCCAACTCTGGGATGCTATGTACCCTTAAAAGGGAGAGACAGAAGCCCAAGAGCCCCTCAGTCAGGCCTGGGCCAACTCCCCCCCCCTCCCTCCCTCCCTCCCTCCCTCCCTCCCTCCAGGTGTTTTGGACTCCAACTCCCACCATTGGGGTTGTGATGCATGGCTGGAGAGATAGATGTATGGGTGGAGAGTCCAAGACATGGGCCCACTTGGGAGGGCCGAAGTTGTCCCAGGCCTGCCCTAGAGGGAGAAGCCCCTCAAGAAGGAGGGAGGGGATGGGGAGGGAAAGCAAGGAGCAGGGCATCTCTTCCATAGAGGAGGGAGGGGAGGGGAGGGGGTGAGGTGAGAAGGGAGTGGGGCTGGGCTAGGTGGCCTTGAGGGCTCCCTCCCAACTCTGGGGTGCTATGTTCCCTTAAAAGGGAGAGGCAGAAGCCCAAGAGCCCCTCAATGGGCCAACTCCCCCCCCCTCCCTCCCTCCCTCCCTCCCTCCCTCCCTCCAGGTGTTTTGGACTCCAACTCCCACCATTGGGGTTGTGATGCATGGCTGGAGAGATAGATGTATGGGTGGAGAGTCCAAGACATGGGCCCACTTGGGAGGGCCGAAGTTGTCCCAGGCCTGCCCTAGAGGGAGAAGCCCCTCAAGAAGGAGGGAGGGGATGGGGAGGGAAAGCAAGGAGCAGGGCATCTCTTCCATAGAGGAGGGAGGGGAGGGGGTGGGGTGGGGTGGGGTGAGAAGGGAGTGGGGGTGGCCTGGGTGGCCTTGAGGGGTCCCACCCAACTCTGGGATGCTATGTACCCTTAAAAGGGAGAGACAGAAGCCCAAGAGCCCCTCAGTCAGGCCTGGGCCAACTCCCCCCCCCTCCCTCCCTCCCTCCCTCCCTCCCTCCCTCCAGGTGTTTTGGACTCCAACTCCCACCATTGGGGTTGTGATGCATGGCTGGAGAGATAGATGTATGGGTGGAGAGTCCAAGACATGGGCCCACTTGGGAGGGCCGAAGTTGTCCCAGGCCTGCCCTAGAGGGAGAAGCCCCTCAAGAAGGAGGGAGGGGATGGGGAGGGAAAGCAAGGAGCAGGGCATCTCTTCCATAGAGGAGGGAGGGGAGGGGGTGGGGTGGGGTGGGGTGAGAAGGGAGTGGGGGTGGCCTGGGTGGCCTTGAGGGGTCCCACCCAACTCTGGGATGCTATGTACCCTTAAAAGGGAGAGACAGAAGCCCAAGAGCCCCTCAGTCAGGCCTGGGCCAACTCCCCCCCTCCATCCCTCCAGGTGTTTTGGACTCCAACTCCCACCATTGGGGTTGTGATGCATGGCTGGAGAGATAGATGTATGGGTGGAGAGTCCAAGACATGGGCCCACTTGGGAGGGCCGAAGTTGTCCCAGGCCTGCCCTAGAGGGAGAAGCCCCTCAAGAAGGAGGGAGGGGATGGGGAGGGAGAGCAAGGCAAGGAGCAGGGCATCTCTTCCATAAGGGAGGGAGGGGGGGGGTGGGTGAGAAGGGAGTGCGGGTGGGTCCCTCCCTACTCTGGGGTGCTATGTACTCTTAAAAGGGAGAGACAGAAGCCCAAGAGTCCTTCAATCAGGCCTGGGACAACTCCCCCTCCCTCCCTCCCTCCCTCCAGGTGTTTTGGACTCCAACTCCCACCATTGGGGTTGTGATGTATGGCTGGAGAGATAGATGTGTGGGTGGAGAGTCCAAGATATGGGCCCACTTGGGGGGGGGGCGAAGTTGTCCCAGCCCTGCCCTAGAGGGAGAAGCCCCTCAAGAAGGAGGGAGGGGATGGGGAGGGAGAGCAAGGCAAGGAGCAGGGCATCTCTTCCATAGGGGAAAGAGGGGGTGAGGTGAGAAGGGAGTGGGGCTGGGCTAGGTGGCCTTGAGGGCTCCCTCCCAACTCTGGGGTGCTATGTTCCCTTAAAAGGGAGAGGCAGAAGCCCAAGAGCCCCTCAATCAACTGGGCCAACTCCCTCCCTCCCTCCCTCCCTCCAGGTGTTTTGGACTCCAACTCCCCCCATTCCTCACAACCGGTTGAGGTTGGGGTCCAAGACATGGGCCAACTTGGGAGGGCCAAAGGTGTCCCAGGCCAGGCCTGCCCTAGAGGGAGAAGCCCATCATCAAGAAGGAGGGAAGGGATGGGGAAGGAAAGGCAGGAGCAGGGCATCTCTTCCATAAGGGGTGGGGGGTGGGGTGGGGGAGGTTCCAAGGGAGCCCCTTCTTCTTCCTCCCTTGCTCTTCCTCCGTCATTCTTCTTTCCCTCCCTCCCTCCCTCCCTCCCTCCTTCTGCCTTTCCTCCTTTCCTTCCTTCCTTCCTTCCTTCCTCCTTGAGCGCATCATCTGCCTCTGCCTCTTCTTCCTCCTCCTCCTCCTCCTCTGCTGCTGTGCTGCTTCCTCTGCTGCTGCTTCCTCTGCTGTTGCCGCTGGAAGACGAGGCGGAGGACGGAGGAGGAGGAGGAGGGAGGAAGGCGGCGCAGAAGCAGAAGCAGAAGACTCCGGCAGGGAGGAGGAGGAAGAGGAGGAGGAGGAGGAGGAGGAGGAGGAGGAGATCCACCCTGCTTGCCCTCCGCCGCTGCACCTTCTCCCTCCGCCGCTGAGCCGGGCGCCGGCCCCTTCCTTCCTTCCTCCCTCCTTCCTTCCTTCCTTTCCTCCTTCCTCCTTCCCTCTTTCCTTCCTTCCCTCTCTCTGTCTCCTGCCTGCCTGCCTGCCTGCCTGCCTCGGGCGTCGTTCCCTGCGGGGCGGCGGGAGGGCGGGAGGGCGGGAGGGAGGGTGGCGGCAGGCGGGGGCGGGAGGCTCGGCCACCACCATGTCCTATGCGCCCTTCCGGGGGTCCCGACGACCCAGCGCCGCCGCCGTCGCCGCCGCCGCCGCTGCCGCAGGTAAGTCCAAACCGGGGGGGGGGGGGGGCGAGGGGGGGGGGGGGGGGGGTCTTCACATACAAATATATTGGGGAGGGGGGTCTTCTTTCTCTCTTCCTCCCTCCCTCCCTCCATCCATCCCTCCATCTCTCCATCCAAAGGATGCAGAGGCTCACCTGTCTCTTTGCATCCCTTTATTTATGGGGAGGGGGCTTCCTCTCGGGACCCCCCCTCCCTCTCCTCTTCCCAGTCATAACACTGGGAGACCATGGGGTGAGCCCCCCGCTTCCCCTCACTCCCTCCCGAAGGCAGGAGGCAGGCCAGGTGGGATGTCAACACCTCGGGTGTCTTTCTGCCTCCTCCTCCCTCCGACTCCCATTCACACAGAGACCCCCGACACGTGTCTGCGCCAAGAGCCTCTCTCTAGGCCCCGCTGGGGAGGAGGGGCACCCACCACCACCACCACCACCACCATCATATAATAGTGGGGGTGAAGACGAAGAAGGCCTTCCTCTTCCCAAAAATAACAAGAATAATAATAATAATAATAATAATAATCCGATGTGTGATCCAGTACAACCAGCAGAGTGTCTGCTGTGGACTCATCTTGTTGTGTATCAAATAATAATAATAATAATAATAATAATAATAATAATAATAATAATAATAATATATTTATAATAATAATAATAATAACAATAATAATAATAATGATAATAATAATAATCTGATGTGTGATCCAGTACAACAGCCAGCAGAGTGTCTGCTGTGGACTCATCTTGTTGTGTATCAAATTATTATTATTATTATTATTATTATTATTATTATTATTATTATTATTATATTTATTAATTATATTATAATAATATTATTTATAATAATAATAACAATAATAATAATAATGATAATAATAATAATCTGATGTGTGATCCAGTACAACAGCCAGCAGAGTGTCTGCTGTGGACTCATCTTGTTGTGTATCAAATTATTATTATTATTATTATTATTATTATTATTATTATTATTATATTTATTATAATATTTATTATAATATTTATTATAATATTTATAATAATAATAATAATAATAATAATAATAATAATAATAATCTGATGTGTGATCCAGTACAACAGCCAGCAGAGTGTTTACTGTGGACTCATCTTCTTGTGTTTCTAATAATAATAATAATAATAATAATAATAATAATAATAATAATAATAATAGGAGCCCCCCCTCTCTCTTCTGCATTGGTCCCAAAAGCAGCAAATGGGGGCTCTGGCTGGGGTGTGTGTGGGAAATCTTCATATATGAGTGTACATATATGTGTGTGTGTGTATGTATATAGATATATTGGGGAGGGGGTCTCCTTTCTGCCTTCCCCTTCCTCTCTCCCTCCCTCCCTGCTGGGCTCCAAGGGCTGCCAAGGGATGCAGAGGCTCACCTGCCTGCTTGCCCACTTCCCTCCTTCCCTCCCTCCTTTCTGGAAGGGGAGGGGGCTTCCTCTTCCCCATAATAACCACACTAATGGGAGCCCCCCCCTCCCATTCCTTTCCTTGCCCATCTGCATGGGATGCAGGAGCCCCCCATTCCCTCCCCAAGGCAGCCAAGGAAGGCTTTGGGGCTCCTGCAGGAAGCAGGCCAGACAGGAGATGGATTTCTGCCCAAAGCCCCCCCACCACACGTGTCTGCGACAAGAGCCCCCCCTCTCTCTAGGCCCCACTTTTTTTGGGGGGGGGGCACCAATAATGATCAGGATGAGGATGGAGAGGAGGATGAAGGCCTTCTTCCTTTCCTTGGAGATGGAGATGGAGATGGAGATGGAGATGGAGATGGGGGGGGGGGCGGCTCGGCTGAGGCCTGGGGTTTATTTCGGGACGCCCCCACTCCCCAAAATCCTCCCTCCCTCCCCCCTCCCTCCTTGCCGCCCCCTCCCTCTGCTTCCTCTGCGAGGAGAGCAAGGCCTGCTGGCTCTTCCCGCGGAAAAGGGAGGGGGCGGCAGGGTTGCTAGGCAACGGGCCTGGTCCTGCTCCTTCTTCTTCTCCTCCTTCTCCTTCTTCTCCCAGGGATGGATGGAGGGATGGATAGAGGGATGGATAGAGGGATGGAGGGATGGATGGGAAACAGCAGCAGCAGGAGGAGGAGGAGGGGGCTGCAGGGGGAGAAGAAGGAGAAGAAGGGCCTTCCTTCCTTCTACCCTTCTTTCTTCTCTTCCTTCTTCTCTACCTTCTTCCCTTCCTTCTTTCTTTCTTCTTCTTCTCCTCCTCCTCCCTTTCCCAGGGATGGAGGGATGGATGAGAAGCAGGAGGAGGAAGAGGAGGAGCAGGAGAGGGCTGCAGGAGGAGAACAAGGAGAAGGGTCTGCCTTCCCTCTTCCCATCCATCCTTCTCTTCCTTCCTCCTTCTCTTCTTTCCCTCCTCCTTCCTTCAGCGTGGCAAAGCCCCTCTTCAAGGGACCCCCACCCCTTCCTCTTGATAATGAGGAAGAGGACAAGAAACCTGTCCATCCATGTAGACCACACATGGACCAACTTTGGTCCTCCAGGTGTTTTGGACTCCAACTCCCAGCATTCCTCGCAGCCTCAGGCCCCTTCCTTTTCCCTCTCAGCCACATAAGCGGAAAAGGAAAGGGAAAAGGGAGTCTGTGAGGAATGGTGGGAGTTGGAGTCCAAAACACCTGGAGGGAGGGAGGTGTTTGGTCCCCAAAAGGGACCAGACTCCATAAGCAGGGCCTCCTTCCCATCCTCCTCCTCCTCTTTTTGAAGGGAAGGGGGGGGGGGGTCTGTGGACCTAGAAGTTTTGGGGAGACAAGGAAGCCAAAGCCTTGGGGCCTCTTGTTCCCCCTTCAGAGGCAGGAGCTATTATATGTACATTGAAAGAGAGAGCGAGAGATGTAGATTTAGAGGCATAGATAGATAGATAGATAGATAGATAGATAGATAGATAGATAGATAGAGGTAAATAGAGAGAGGTAAATAGAGAGAGGACAATAGAGAGAGGTCAAGTAAATAGAGATAGATGTATGGAGGGAGAGACAGACAGATGGGAATACAGATGCGATTTTCCTGCTCCTTGGCCGGGAGTTGGGCTCGATGGCCCATGAGATCTCTTCCAACTCTAGGAATCTATTATTATCATCTATCTATCTATCTATCTATCTATCTATCTATCTATCTATCTATCTATCCATCCATCCATCCATCCATCCATCCATCCATCCATCCATCTATCCCTACATCTATCTCTAGCTCTGGTTCTCAACTTGTGAACAATGCACAATGGAGGTCCTCCTTGTGGTAACACCAGAGGCCCTCCAAGTGGCCAGATACTGGTCAAAGGACATTTAATCGACTACCAAGCTTGCCAACTTTGTGTTTTGTCTCTTTGTTTGTTTTGTTAAAATTTAATACAACTGTCTGGTTGCTCCTGACACGATAAATAAATAACTAACTTGTGAACACGTTCTAAACATGTGGAAAGCCAGAGGTTGTGCAGTCCTGCTCTAGGCCAGTGGGTCTCAACCTGTGTGGCTCCCCAGGTGTTTTGGCCTTCAACTCCCAGAAATCCAAACAGCTGGTCAACTGGCCAGGGTTTCTGGGAGTTGTAGGCCAAAACAGCTGGAGGGACACAGGTGGAGAAACACTGCTAGGCCTATCTCTATCTACCTCTCCCCATCTTTCTTTCTCTACCTACCTACCTACCTACCTCTTTATATCTCTACACCTATCTCGAATTCAACATCTACATTGACATCTGTATTCTATCTATCCATCCATCCATCCATCCATCCATCCATCCCTACATCTATCTCTATTACTAGGTCTATCCCTATCTACCTCTCCCCATCTATCTTTACCTATCTACCTACCCATCTCTTTATATCTCTACATCTATCTCAAATTCAACATCTACATTGACATCTGTATTCTATCCATCCATCCATCCATCCATCCATCCATCCATCCATCCACCCCTACATCTATCTCTATTACTAGGTCTATCCCTATCTACCTCTCCCCATCTATCTTTACCTATCTACCTACCCATCTCTTTATATCTCTACATCTATCTCAAATTCAACATCTACATTGACATCTGTATTCTATCTATCCATCCATCCATCCATCCATCCATCCATCCCTACATCTATCTCTATTACTAGGTCTATCCCTATCTACCTCTCCCCATCTATCTTTACCTATCTACCTACCCATCTCTTTATATCTCTACATCTATCTCAAATTCAACATCTACGTTGACATCTGTATCCTATCTATCTGTATCCTACCTATCTGTATTAGGATACAGATACTATCCCTCCTATACTATCACTCCATCCATCCCTACATCTATCACTATCTCTAGGTCTATCTATATCCCTCGGTCTATCTTTCTCTACCTAATCATCTATCTCATTATATCTCTACACCTATCTCTAATTCAACATCTATGTTGATATCTGTATCCAATCTATCTATCCATCCCTACATCTATCTCTATCTCTCCCTATCTCTATCTATCTGTCTCTTTATATCTCTACATCTATCTCAAATTCAGCATCTATGTTGACATCTGTATCCTATCTATCTATCCATCCATCCCTCCATCTATCTCTATCTCTAGGTCTATCTCTATCTATCTTTATATCTCTACATCCATCTCTAATTCAACTAGATAGAGAGATAGATAGGGAAAGGCAAATAGAGATAGATGTATGAATAGAGAGACAGACAGATAGATAGAGATACACATCTATCTATCCATCCATCCATCCATCCATCCCTAAATCTATCTCTATCACTGTCTTAATCTACCACTCCCTATCTTTCTCTTTATATTTCGACCTCTATCTCTAATCCGACTAGATAGATAGATAGATGGATGGATGGATGGATGGATGGATGGATGGATGGATGGATAGATAGATAGATAGATAGATAGATAGATAGATAGATAGATAGATGGAGATAGAGATAGATGTAGGGATAGATATATAGATAGATAGAGATGTCAATGTAGATGTCG